TTCAGGGACACTGACATGAGGAGGACCTTCAAGGAGATCCTGTGCTACCCGTGCCAGCAAGGCAAAACCGACAGGGGCAACTCTGGAATGCAGTTTAACACCCTGGAGCGCGAGGTACTGTCCGAAAGCAATGGAGGTGACGACCGCAGTCACAAACAAAACAGCCACTCGCACTAAGGACTGTTGACAACAAATACCTGAAATGACAGATGATGGGTTTCTGTTCACCACATGCGCTCAAACTATTTGAAAATTATGGAATGACAAAGTGACAACCAGACCAACTTGACAAGTTAATGTTCTCTTTAAATCCACTTTGTAATTTTTATGTCCAAGAAAATCTGAGCATAACACAAAAACAATTGGAGCACGAGTAAGAACACCTCAGTGCAAATTGGATTTTTAGCGAATTGGCAACGATTCCGCTCCGTTTCTTAAACTCATGTTCACTTAAAACATCAGTTGATGTCTTCACAATATCAATGTATCAGATGAAACTGACATGTGAAAGGATTCGCTCGTAGCAATGAACCTACAGAGAATTATCACCTGAATGTGCAGCTCTCTTCGGCTTTACACGGTGTTTGGGTGCATCGTTTTGCTTCCGGTCCAAAGATGTACTGTTGTGGTCAACACTCGCGTAGCATTATTTTTTTGGGCCACAGCTGTTTTAATTGGTAAAGCTCTAAAAACCCACTGCAGTCAAAGTGAGTTAGAGCAGGTCTGAATAGTGCTGAAGCAAAAGTTCACGGCTGTTTTCTTCCTGTATATCTTTTATGTTGAGCTGAGGTTTTTTAGCTCAGTTCTTCTGCGTCGCAGCGGTCAGTGTCTTTCTGCAGCAGGAAACACAACAGCTTCAGGATGTAAAGTCCAGTAAAAATTCTATTTAATCTGCACACTTTCTTCCCTGTAAACCATTCTAAAACTAAAATAGCAATCCTGCCACATCCAATGTGATTCCCCATGACCATTACTACCATTATATTATAATTGGATCCACTGATGGCGTCCTTGACAGAATCTTAGTGGTGATTTATAGCTTGAAAGTGACTGGTTTGTATGTGCTAGTCATATGCAGTAAATGTAAAATTATTACAGTTAATCCTTATTTCTTTTCCTCATCTTAAACACTTAAACCGGTTGTTCCAGTTTCTGGTTTAATGTTCTGTCTTTAATGTCCCCCCCAAAAAAAAGCATGATAGACTGCACTGAAAACCACATACTGCACGTAGACCCGTGCACAAACAGGAACATGAATAGTTTCTATAAGACAACACTGAGTGTGTTTAACGGAGGGGAAAAAAGACCTTGAGCACTGACACGCTTGTGGTGAAAGTAAAATATTGTTCCGTGACTGATGCCTCATATACAGACATTGTCTAATACTGTCTAATTTAATGTTTAGCGGGTTTTTGTGTGTCTGGATTCTTCTTTCGGTGTCTGCCTCACTCTGCTGTGCACACACTTGGATGAGCCAGAGCGCTCTTTCACTTCTATTCTTTCAGTCACCTTGTAGTGAAATTTGCTATTTTGAATGAGAATTACACAGTTAGTGGTCTGTGCTGACGTCTGAATTTTCATATGGTCATACATTTGCCTGATTCTGATATCCGCATTTAACTGAACTGAAATAATAGAAATTAAACGGCTTTCTAATCGATTTGATCAGTTGTTACTTGCTGAGCAAACAAATCATTTCTTTGCTCACCACAGTAATTGTTTGCTCTTATTCAAATAACGGCACAACGTGAGTTTAGCTCACTCACCACCTCCACGTTCCTGCTCCGTGGCCTCCTTAGTTTGCATACTCAGCTTTGTTTTAATCTGAGTGGTGGCTGCACCTGCTCTTTGCTCTGATAATTTTCCTACAAAATATAATTTGTATCTGCTGATAATCTTTCTGTGCTCAAAATGTCTCATGCACACAGACCTGAGGCACAAATAACTCCATAAATACATGCATCCAGCCAGGATGTCACACTGTCCACGTGACAAACTCCAGCAGGACGTCAAAGAGAGCGACACCGATCGAACTCAGGTCCCCTAAAACATGGCCTGGATGGGCAGCATGCTCTAAACGGGTGTCTCTTTTGGAATGATCCAAATTAACCTGTTGCCATATGCAGTCGTTCAGAATAAATTTATACCGAGCATGTTTTTGTTCTTTGTTGTTCGCGTGTGTGTGTTGGATTGTGTGCTCGTGTTGCACAATCATAACCCAGTCCAGATGTGTGCTGATGGTCAATTGAAGCCATCCTCTTTCTTATTCAAGGGGAACTGAACTGGCATTAAGATGTTTTCAATAAGTTTGCTTTGAAGACTAGCAGCAACGAGAGCATGTAGCTAATGAGGATTTACTGAAAGATCACAGTGGGTCATGTTTCTTTCCAAACTTCCCCTGACTTATCACTTTGGCATGTGTGTACATTGGAGGCATACACTGTGTCATTCTCCCACACGTGCACGCACACAGCCGTGCAGCCTGCTGTCAGGTGCAGTCCTGAGTCTCGTGTGTGTGTGTGTGTGTGGGCTGTAAATGACAACTGTCTTCAAGTTGGCAGATAAAGTAGTTGCATTTAAAGCCAAACTGGATTTGTGGGGACGGCGCGTCAACAGCGGCATTTTGGACATGTTTCAAACATTAGCGGGGATTTTGGGTGAGACTGAGCCTGAGCCTTCATTCTCCCAGCTGGTGCACGATCACCTGTCTTTGCTTTTAAAAGAGTTCGAGCGCTACTTCCCAACCACAAAGGACCCACGAACTGCCAAGGAATGGATCCGCAACCCATTTGTCAACAAACCAGGTGAATCCAGCAGGTCTGTGCAAGAAGAAGATCAACTGCTGGAGATCACAAATGACGGCGGCCTTAAAAGTATGTTCGAGACAACAACTCTGTCGGTGTTCTGGATTAAAGTCATGTACTGTACATATGAGTGTATATAGAATGTATTTAGATCAACTACCTAAGTAATATACGAGTAATCAAGCTGCAATTTAACCATCATATCAGAGATAAACAACAGGCATTTACTGTAGCAGATGCTCAGCAGGACAATATCCCGCTCCCTAATGCTGCACAATAATAAAAACAACAGCTCATATTGTTTGTGGTGCTGATGAAATGTCAGTATCATGTCTGTGT